CAGATTTTTCTTCTTCCCCATTTCCCGTTCTAAGGGGTAACATGGGAAGGGCCTTTGGTAGCCAACAAAGAGTATAGTCTCTCTCTTCAGATTAGACAGAGGGCTTATTGTTTACATAGATCTCTAAAGTTTGACAAAGCAAATCTTCATCAGAGCCAAATTCAGGCCAAAAGATTGAGGGCTGATGGATTGGATTTTTAGTCAATAAAAAACAGCGAAATTCATTCATTTTTTTTCTTCCCTTTTTTCTTAGTTCTCGAATCATCATTCCAGTTTTCCAACATTTGCCCCAATGGACTATGTGGGGGAATTTTAAGGGAGATTTCCTGACCTCCCTTCTTAGGTCTAGACTGCTTATTACCCATTCTCGGTTACCAGGTAAGCTGTGTGATTTTGGAGTTTCCCAAAAGAGTGCTCAACTTCCCTTACTGAAAGTTTTTCACAAACCTTAAGACTCCAGGTGTTTCCTGAGGTGCTCAACCCCCTTTGTTGGAGGTTTCTTGTGGGACAAGAACACAGATCGGGACTCCACAATTGCTTCGTATCTTGGGATACATCTCAGTCACACACACTCAACTTCTGAAAATGCCCCAACCACCAAGGCAGTACTTATAGTCCAATTTTTCCTACCTTGGCTGGTACACAAGGTTGCCTAGTTGCTGCAGTGCCTGGTTTTTTTTTTTTTGGTGTGTCACTTATACTGCCTCTAGAACATTAGTCTCGGGTTTATCTGCAGTCCTGCAAGGAGCCAAGATGCCCAAGCAGAGTAGACCACCTGAAATTGAGTGCAACGTGTCTCCCCCTCTGCTGGGGGTCCCCCTCCCACAGATGCAGAGTATCCCAGATGTACTCCCAAATTGTGAGAAATGAACTCACCTGTCCAAAATCAAAGGATGAACATGGAGACATGCAGTACAGCAGAAGCAAGACTTTAATGGCGGTCTTGCAAGATAGGATATCTGCAGGGCAGGCACACTGGGGCTGTTACAGTTAGCATATTTGTAGCCTAGAATGCTAGTCCCTCCCCTGGTCTCCCATAGGCTGGGTTCCACAGGGTCACAACTCTTTCCCAGATGTTGCCTACATGGCACATATCAATTGGGTCACATAATTAGTTTATTTGCATGTCCTATCTGCTGATTGGTTTAGAGGATTTCATTTTGATTGGTTTCCTCCAAAATTTGAACATAAAAGCCCGCCAAAGCCAGGCTCGGTGGCTCAGCCTGTAATCCCGCGCCTTTGGAAGGATGAGGTGAGTGGATTGCCTGAGCCCGCGGGTTCAAGACCCGCCTGGGCAG